AGACAATATGTCTTGAATCACTCCTAAATTGTCTTTTATCTCTTGAGGGGAGCACAGGAACAGTTGTTCATGCATACACACCTGTATAGGTGTCTACCTGATAGACATGTAAAGACAATAAAATAAATCCTATATCTGCTTCCTGTTATAAAATACCTTAAAAGTTCTTGATTTGGTACTTAAATCGTTTAACTAAATATTTTTATGAGTGGATAGAGAAGTTTTAGTTTCAAACTTCCTAACAAGATATTACTAAAATGGGTTTGCTTTTTGAAAAGTTAACATTTAATAAAATTGTGACTCTAATTGTAATGTGCCAGTTTGGACTCAAAACAAGTTCCTAATGTTTCAAACAAAGGATATAGGCTTCATAAACATGCTTAAATTAATTGACTTGACAATTCAGAAAAAATATATAGACAGACTAAGCAGAGAAGAAATCCCTTCTAAGCGTCCTTTTCATGTTTCTATTGAGATAACAAGTGTTTTCAAGTAAAGAATTGCTAAAGATATGACTTGGTAAAGAATCTTACTTGATAATTAATACTAACATGTTTTACATGTACGTCTCAATTTCTTTCATACAATATTTCAGTATCTCACAGACCAATTGGAATGAACCTGGTTAGAAACATGTGCTTAGCTTGGGCATCTTTATTTCCAGCTCCATCCTTTCCCAAGAGTCTACCAGAGTTACCAGTTTCAATCATCAAAATTCACTTGCCACCCATGAAATCTATTTTATATGCCATCTTTTCACTTTTTTGTAATTCATAGCATGTGGATGAGCATGAGCTTGAAGAGTGCTGAGTAGCAGCATGATCACAACCACTCCAACATGTGGGATGGCATGCTTGTCAAATCTCAGAGTGACACTTGCAAGCCACTGCAGCCTGGACCTTGGCCTAGGCCCAAATATACTGAGTGCAAATAATAGCTCATTAAGTTTTACAAAGTATTAAATTGCGATAGTAATGACACAAACAAATAGTGATTTACTTTGTAGAGTGTCTGTACTCCTTAATAAATTAATCTCCAAAATGTTGTGCTACACTATATTTTCTGGTTCTATCCATTTTTTTTTCTTTTTGTAATGAATTATCACAAGGGCAGAGAGTATTGACAATTATAACCATTAGAGAATAACAGAAGGAGAAGTTGCTCCTATCTCAGAGAAAAGGAAATGTATTTTGATAATGAAGTAGCCAAGATACAATGAGTTAGGTTTAACCCTCAGATGTATCTATACAAGGATGTTTGTCCTTCCTAAGTTCTGGTCTGTGTTGTTGAATTCTTTCTGTAGTAATATGGTTAAATTCCAAGGTTATCTTATTTTTTTCTTCCTCTTCAATATAGACATGAAAATTTCCTTGAATGTAATGTTCTCCAACATCAGCAAAACATTGTTTTCTTTCCGTGATCTGAGAAGGAAAACATTCCTGGCCCTTAAAAAGATGTATTGTCTACTCAATGGATTTGCAAAAGAAGCCTAGTGAAATCTGCGTGGACTAGAATAGTTGTTATGCATCAAAGCTATTTAGAACACAATCCAAGTCAATAAAAACATTTTTTTTAGATATGTAGAAGTGCATGTGAATAGAAGGAGCTATTCAATACAAGCACCTACAGGAAGATTACTTCAATTTACACATTGATCACTGGTGGAGATAACACGTGTAGCTGTCGGAGCCTAGTGTCTTTGGTGTAGGTCTCCATCCTGGCATGAATTAAACCACACCATGTTTTGCTGTTCCCTGTTCACTCTGCTGAGAGGGAGCCTAGAGAATTTCTGACTAAACTGTACAAATATATAAAACTTGGTAGCACTAATTCAAATTTACAATGGGAGTGGTAATATGTTTGCTTACTAAATTTCAGGATAAATTTTTCGTAGACTTTTCAAATGCTGAATGTAAATTTCAAATCTGCTTGCAGGAGTATTGTAATCCTGCATAGTAAATATGCTTGTAGACATTCACTTAAAAATTGCAGGCATCTGGTGTTTTGGAACATGAGCAAAACTCTGCTAACTCTATGCACCAATAATAAATAACTTTCCTGAGGTATCTGGTTGTTTCCTAGATATGCGTTAAAGAAACAAAGTCTAGCACTTTCCCTCAATTACTTCTGAGTTTGTAATTAAATCCATATGAGAAGAATTGCTTGGTGGATTGGGGTGAATAAAGCGCTAATAAAAACAACTCTAATTTCCTGTCCAGTCCCTGTTTTCCTTCCCTTGTGCACCAGTGGCTATTCCAGGGATCGTTGCCAGATCTGCAGCCATGTCCCCCAGGGCTTTGGTCTTGACACATCTTTCAAAATAAGCAGGACAGAGGATGTGGACAAGCAAATCAGTCACAGAGAACCAAGCAAAGTTTCGGAAGCACCACCACGCCCCCATGGGTCTTGCTTCTTGGAGCCTTGCTATTGCTGTGTACTAGGGAATAAGGACACAGTGAAGTAGAGCTTAATTACCACCCTTACTTATTTTGGGAACTCTGACTAAACCCCGAGCTTCATTAAAGTGCAAATTCTGCTGTATACTACTTTAAAGTTATCTTAAACATTTCCATTGCCTTAATGAAGTTGAAATCAAGCCTGTAGATTGGCATCTCAAAGGAAAATGTGGGCACTACAATAAAAATGATGTGGGTGAATCAGTAGGTGTCAGATTGCTGAGTCCATAATGAATAATTATCTGAGCATAATTATTCTATGTGCTGTTTTTCAGGCAAGATGTAAAATTGAGGTCTTTTTGTTTCTTGGTAATTAAAACCACATCTCTTATATGATTGCACCTTACAAAAGAGTCTCTCTTTTGGAGAATATGGTCCGCTAATAGTATCCGTGGCTGGAAAAGGAACTATTATACTGATCATTAGAACTGTCTGTCCTATATAATTTTCTCTTCCAGCATCTCTGATACTAATTTTTGAATTTCCATTTCAGTTTATATATGTATTTTGTAGAAGAAGCCATTATGTTGTACGTTCTTTGATACATTTTTTTAGTTTTTTGTATATGAACAGGGTTTTGATATTGCTCCTGGATCAGATTTGATATAATTTTGAGTTCAAAAATCAACTGCTGTATTTCAAAAGCAACTGGATGCATTCATGGGATAAAATTACCTGAAAAGTGTTAAAAACAAAGACACAGTTTCTCTTTCAAGAAATCATTGAGTAGTAAACTGGTATTTTTATATTCTTAAATTTTTCCTACAGTGTATGCTCTAGACCACTGTCAGAACAGTACCTGAGGCTTACATAATTTTTATTTTGTCCAGAATGGCCATGCTTAATTTTCTGTGTAATATATTGTAACCACTGAAAAGAAATTTCCCACCATTAGGATTTCTCACCAAGGCAAGAACACAAACCGGTTTTCAAAAAAATATTGAAAATTTAAGTAGATTATTTTCTCTTGAGGCAATGTTACATGGGATATATGTTTTTATAGAAATATTCCTGTTCTATTTTATTACCAAGATAGGAATCTTACCAAAATGCCTTGCACTTTCTGTAAGTTATGGTGGTTTTTTGGACATTATTCCTTGGCCTGCTCTTGGAACTATTATGGGAAATTGGATGCAGAATAATAGTTTCTCATGTTCCATCCAACTTCTTCAGCATATCCTCTTTTGCATTTGCTAGGTGCCAATGCAATTATTTTGAGTGGAAGAATAACAAAAAACCAAATTTAGATTAGACATAGCTAAAAGCATTTTCATGCATCTATCTAAGAGATAACAGTTAAAGGATACTTCTGTGAAGAGCAGTAAGTCTGTCTAATTAAAACTGGATTACTGACCTCCTGCTCAGGATCAGATTAAAGAATTACCTTAGTGCACAGTGACAAATTCAGATTATTCTAAAACTTTTCCTGTCAGTACTTAGTGATTGTAACCAGTAAGGGCTGCTTTTGGCTTTATGTCTGACTGCCCACAGATCATGGCAGTGCTGCCTGTCACACTGTGACTTTGAGATGAATATTTCTTTTTCTTTGGCAAAAGTGGAGGAAAACCAGGTAGAAAACATGAAGCCAGACTGAAAACTAAGAAGCTGGAGATGAAACCTATCTGATGTCTTTGTATCTTTGTAACTTGGATGTGATAGAAGAGGAGAGGGTCCCTTTCATGAAAACAAAAACAGTAGGAGGAAGAGAGCAAATAAAGTTGAAGAGGATGACTTGGCCATTGTAATGGCAACTAGGAGATGAGAAGAAAACCACTAATTACTCCATGACTAGTATTTGGAGAAAGAAAATCCACATGCTTGAGCAGTGTAAACTCGGATCTCAGAATCTCAGGTGAAACTATGGTACTGCATTTTCTTTGTGACAGTGCATGGTGAGGTGGACTTAAACAAAACAACAACTTTTTATCCTGGCTGGAATTTGATGGATCAACAGTGAATACAATTTTGAGCTTATCAAGAAGTCATCAAGATCGCTGTGTCTGGTTACGTTATGACTAAGGAAGAAACCAGAGGCACTGGAACTAATGTTTCAGACTTTATAGAAAATAACAGAGCATGTATATCCAGGTCTTGAACCTGTTTAAACCATGTTTCAGGAAATGAATAATAAGAAACCAAATCTATTCTATTTAATAGAAACTTCAATATATTTCCATGTGTCTCCTGGGCTGGGTATGGAACTGGGGAATCATCCCTGGCAGTCAGTGGTGGTCTGCAGTAAGCTACCTGTGGGACTCATGTGCACCTTGTGCTGCTCAAATTGTAAGATCTGGGCTTGCCATGAGACATTATCAAAATAAAGAGGTATGTCATGTGCTTGGAGAAGTACAAAGTTAGGGAGTTCTCAAGCAGGAGGCCGAGGTATTTTTTTTTGTCCTGTGTTTGCCAAGTGCATTTACACTTGGCTGCCACTTGTACAGACTTCTCTTGGAAGCATTTTCCATCTGTCATGCTCACATGCAAAAAAACCCCTGGCAATTCCACCCCCATCTCTGAAATGGAATGTCTCTTTGTCTCTTACAGCTTTCAGCAAGACTTTTATTAAAGAGACAGAGAGGAGAGAAAAAAAATGCAGACAAGGAGATCACAAATGCATCAGATGGCAACGAGAAAGGGATTCTGTTTCACCTTGACTCCTTGTTTCCACTAACAACCTCTCCTTTATCTACAACACTGTAAGCTCCATCAGCTGTTTCATCCAGGCCTACTAAGAATGAAGTCTCTTTATATGTGGAGAATAGTGAAATAAAGTGAAGCTAGGAATTTTTGACACTGTTTTCTCCTATACTTAGAACTGCATGTGAAATACCAGCCACCTTCTTCACAAAAGTAGCAGAAAACACTTTCCAATATGATTTATAATGACGTGCCCTCTTATAATACATCACTCACATCAACAGCAAAATGGAAAAAAATCACTGAAAAATATATGAGAGGATGGACATCCTAAGCCTGATCGGTGATGATGTGGGAGAGATACATGTCTCTCTTATGGCTTCTTTTTTCAAAACTGTAATTATTTTGCAAATAGACCCCTCTCATATATAGTGATTGTGATTTTCAGAAGACAATCTGTGGATAGCACTTTATAATTTCTACAAGACATATACTGAATAGATGTTAGGATAGCTACATCATTTGAACAAATGGGATCTTTCTTTAATAGATTTTCCTTGATTTAGATTTCTGCTTCACATATTATGTGAAAGGAAGCTGCATATTCAGAAAACTGTGTGACAAGGCCTGCTTAAAAGACTGGCTGTTGTGCCTATCACTGGCAGAGAAAGTCTGAAATTTCTGTCGTATATTATTTATATTTTGGCAATAGGAACATTTAAAATTGCCTTTAAGTATGTTGGAAATAAGTCTAGCTCTTATTTTTCAGAAGGATTTTTTGCCTTCTCCTGTCTACTCTCCCCTCTTAACTCTATACAAGCCATGTCTCTCAAGGCACTGGAAACAACAGGTTAGCAAATTTTCCATGAAGTATTGAACTTCTGGCCATTAACTGGCCTTCAACTCTCCTGCCTGACACTACAGTGTGTGCCAGGCTGTAGCTGGGCTGACAAGGCTTTGCTGTGTCTCGTTATAATAAAAAGTACAATCAACTGGTGCAGTGAAAAAACATATAGGTTTATCAGGGATAAAGAAAACAAGTTATTCACAGGGAAATGATCCATAATTGCTTGTGATTACATTCTTTAAGAATTACTTGTAGGAGAAGAAAGGAATAGTATAATAAATTTAACTCCCTGGTTTGTTCTCAGAACATGAGTGAATTGGGGCAAAATGATCCTGTGAGCCAAAACACACAAATGATGACCAAGCTCTTCAACAGGCTTCTGAAACATGTTTTTACTGAATTGAATGCTACCACCAATTCATTCTGTAATGGAAGAAAAAGAGAGTGGCAACCTTATGAAAGTATCCTTTTATCAGGCAAGACAGAAGACAGAAAATTAATTGGAAAAGTTCTTTTGAGACCTCTCCCCTCACCAGTCCAAAAAATGAATACAAATCTAATGATATTGTTCGAAAGATGAAAAAATGCAGGTACAAGAAAGTACTCTCAGAATTTACCAGAACCAGGCCTGTCACAGAGACCATCATTGTGTCCTTCCCCACATCTCTTTTCAATATATTTTGGTAGTTGCTGTACTCTGTTATCCAGCATCCATGCTTCACCACAGGGGTGTCTGCAGTTCTGTTTTGGCTGAGGAATTCATGGTTTGCAGTGATAAAAGGCAAAAGGACAGGAGAAAATGACAAAAAGGCAAGATAAATCTTGTGGTATCCTCTGATCTCCATGGTCTGCTGTCTGCCAGCAGTAATCCCATGCAGAGTGCGGATGCATACACATGAATGCACACTGTCAGTCTCCCTCTTCTTCCCTGCAGTTGGCTTTGCCATGCCACCTGTGCTCATACCACAAGAAGATATTCCTTATTCCTAGGCTTGCTGGGAGGAGAGGAATGAGGGATGGAAAAGGAGGCTGCTATCAGGGTGCAGGGGCAGAGGGGTACTTCTCCACAATGGCTGTCTCACTATGCCCACCCCACATCAGGGGTAATCTGTTGGTCACAGATTAACATCGGTAATTGCACAGGATATGTCACTTGGTGTGTCTGATGAACAAACTGCCATGGGAATTGCCTATTCACATACTGTATACACAGAGACTGATAGATTTCTCATGAGCAATCAGGACAGAGAAGGATTAGAGACAAAAATTCGTATATATTTGTACATACAGTTATAGATGTAAAAGGTTGATGCCTCGCTGTTCTGGATGCCAGAATAGCTTATTATGGTCACAGGGCTGAAGTAGTATCATGTTTGTATTCTAATAACCTGATCTTAATGTCTAATAACATTCATAAACTTTTCTGTGATCAAGAATAGGTTTCTGTCCAGACATAATTTTATTTGTAAACTTTGAAAAAAAATTATTCTTGGGGTTTTTTTCCCCTCCCCAAAAATTATTCAGGTGACTGCTTTGCTGCTGAAAAAAAGGATTTGAGTCAGACTAAATCCACCTGCTTTCTGTCAGGGCATACCCAAGGAGAGGCATCAACAACTCTTCTGTTAAAACAGGATCCAACCTATATATATCAGGACTTCATTTCTGTACAGTAACAGAGTGTAGGACAAAAAATATCTCTGCCAGAGAAAGCAAAAGAAGTGAGGTCAGTATGAGAAAAAAACAAGGAATGTAGGCGAAGAAGGAAAGTGTGGTGTGCTGTACCTGGGAATTCTGAGAAAGATAGTGAGGGAGTACAAAAGGGTGAATTATGCGTATCTCAGATCAAAAAGACATTACTATGTTTTAGTTGCTTCTCATTTTTCTCACCATCCTTTAGCAGTTGCTTTGCCTTCTGGGGAGGCCCATGGCCCTATTTTGTTTCTGTGAATGTTTTCTGTCAGCTTATGGTGAATGTTTCTTGCACTCATTGACTGAGTTCCTTGCAGTGTATCTCCAAGGGCTGCACGGGTGTCACGTAGTCGTGTATTTTCTCTAGGCTGCCAGCATCACCCTCACTGAGTCATGGAACAGGGCTTTTGTTTAACTGCTGTCTCTCTTGTGCAGTGTTACCTAATTGCAAATTGGTATTTACTCTTTTTATTATTTTTATTTTTTTTTTAACTGAAAAGGGGGTGGGATCCATGATGCTACACAATCTTCAGTAAGAACAGACAAGGCTGAGACATTTAAGTACTTTTTTGCAAGTACTCCCTGTCTGCCATTTCCTGTTAGTGTCCCTGTTCTTTACCAAGTGTTGCACTCACTGTTTCGCAATGTGAATGTTTTAACTCCTGCACTACTCAGGGAATTCCTTCTGTTGCTGGCTTAAGTTTGCTTATGGTTTTAATGGCTCCGATTAAACAATTTCTGAAATTTTCTCACTTTATGAATGGATTTTTTACTGTTTGTGAGTATTGCATCATTGTTGAAATGACACAATCTTTTCCTAAAATATGTTTTTATTCCCTATCATCAACTTGGTGTGGCCACATAAACCATGTACATTCTGCCCTTATTATCTGACTAATCTCAATGCCTCTATCAATTCACTCTAGTCCAGATTATATACTTGTCTACTTTTTAAGTCCTACATTACATTATTGTCTTTAATAAAGGGAGAAGAAAGTTCTTTTTGACTTAGGAAGCTATTCCCAAAGTCTAAATAAGTTATTTGATTTTTCTCTTGTTAGCCAATATTGCAGAACCTGAGGATATGAAATCACTTCCTCCCTTCCCCTCAAAGAGATCAAACAGTGGAAACTGGGACTTATGGATACTCCAAACATTTGCAAATGAACACGTGTGAAGAAAGAAGGAGCACCATTTAACAGTCTTTTTAGACTGCTCTTTATCAGGGTGCTCCTATCTAAAGGGATGTAAGACTCTGAACTGTCCTAGCCAGCATGGGTATATGAAAACAGGTGCCTCTTGACCTATCACCTCCTTCTATGACAAGGTGACCTGTTTAGTGGATGAGGGGGAGACTGTGGATGATGCCTACCTAGATTGTTGTAGTCTTTGACACTGTCTCCCACATAATTCTTGAGCAGAAATTAGCTGCTCATGAATCGGATAGATGTGGTCTTCCCTGGGTGAAAAACTAACTGGATGTCTCAGCCCTGAGAGTGGTGGCAAATGGAGATCAATACAGTTGGTGACCGGTGTCTAAGGGTGCTCCCAAAGGCTCCCAAAGTATTGGAGCCAGTCCTGTATAATATCTTTTACTGATAATATGGATGCAGGGATCAAGGGCACTCTCAGTAAATTTGCAGATGACACGAAGCTGGCAGGATGGAAGGATATGGAGGGCAGGAAGGCTCTGCAGAGGGATCTGGACAGGCTGGATCAGTGGGCCAAGGACAGTTGTATGAGGTTCAAGAAGGCAAAGTGCTGAGTCATGAGCCAGTGTGTGCCCAGGTGGCCAAGAAGACCAATGGCATCCTGGTTGTATGAAGAATCATGTGGCCAACAGGACTAGGGAATGGACTGTAGCCTACTGGGCACTGGTGAGGCCACATCTTGAGTACTGAGTCCAGTTCTGGGCCCCTCATTAAAGAAAAACATTGAGGTGTTGAAATGTGTGCAGAGAAGACCTAGTGAAGGGTCTGGAACCCAAGTCTGATGTGGAGTAGCTGAGGGAGCTGGGGTTTAGCCTGGGGAAAAGGAGGCTCAGGGGAGACCTTACCACTCTACAACGACCTGATAAGAGGCTGTAGCCAGGTGGGGTTGGTCTCTTCCAGGTAACAAGTGAGAAGATGAGAGAAAATGGCTTCAAGTTGTACAGGGGAAGTTTAGATTGTGTAGCAGGGAAAATTTCTTCATCAGAAGGGTTGTCAAGCACTGGAACAGGCTGTCCAGTGAAGTTATTGAGTCACCATCCCTGGAGGCATCTGAAAGACTTGTAGATGAAGAGCTCCAGAGGTACTCTCTCTTCAACATATGAAGACACAGAGGTCTAGAGAGTCACAATGCAGTCCACTTCAGGACCTGGAATAAATTTTGTGTATAGCAAACAGTGCTGTAGGGCCAACAGTGTAAAAAATTAGCTGTCTCTCAATTATCTCCAATCATCATAAATCACATGGAAAATACAACTTGCACTGAACTTCTGGTCTGTGCACACTAATGCTCTGGAGTGATTCATGGGATGAATTCATCTGATCTGCTTGCCGTACTCTGAAAAAACAAGGACATTGGTTGGGAAAGATCAAGGTTTTTGAAGATGGTAAATTTGAATAAAACCAAGTATAATAAAGTGATAAAAGAACTGCAGACCTTACTGCAGAGCCTGTTGACTGCACTTAAATGCTATAAACAAATGTATATGTACACAACAATGCCCTTCTATGCCCATTAGCTTGGAGCTACTCCCGTGGAATACAAAAATGGGCTTGCTTTTCCTGTAATGAAAAACAAGGTATGTGGGTTAGAGATATAGAAAAATCAACTAGAGAAATCTCTATAGAAATAGAAAATCAGCTGTGGTGTGTGGCTTGTCATAGCACCAGGATCGGGCACCACTACCAGTCATGAGAGTAGCTGTGCTTACAGAGATGTGACTCATATGATTCAGTGCAGCTCAGGAATGACTATCAGTGACCTGGATAACAGTTGGTCTTAGGAGAGGGTCAGAATTGTTTGCCAATAAGCTTATGAGCAGCAGTAGTGGAGAATCTTTATTGTTACACCTCCTTGTGTTTCAAGAGAGGTTTTCAGTTCAGCGTGGCTGCACCATGGAATATCAATTTTTCCTTGTTTTACCTCTGCAGAAGTGAAAATGTGACAAAGGAGAATGCAACCACATGAGAGAAAATGTCTCTGCCTCAGCATTTACTGGGAATATCTTCAAAAGGCTGCTCTGAGAAACACCAAAAAGGGACAGCTGGTGCTGACTGCATGTGACAACCTCCACAAGTTGAGATAGAGCAGTCACACACAACATACAACTCCCCGACAGTTAATCATACCTAGTTCTTGTTGGCCTTCAGCCATGCTTCATTTTTCTTCACTGGGTTCTTTTAGAACTACAGGAACCTATGTTTCCCTCTAATCAGATCTCTTTAGCCAGGTGCTCTGGAAGTGCTTAGACTTCAAAAGATCGAAGAGTGGAGGAAACACAGTTGGGGAGCTTCTGACAGACAGACTATGTATTGATGCTGAAAAGCCAATAATCATGTGAACATCCGGGACACGGAACGGATGTGACTAAGAAGCCAGAAAAAAACAGAGGGAAAAAATTCCTAGAATATTCATTTTATTGTTCTTTTATGTATCTAGCATAGTTGTTATGAATCTAAAGCTTAGATTTGGTAAAACAGAGCCTATTCTTTGCAGCACATTGGGAACTAGCATGCACAATAACTAGCAGTGAGAAACATCAGTAAAAAGAAAACTCAGTGGTTGGAGGAACATGAAAGACATCTACAAACATTCAGTTAAGTTCTACATGTCTTAATAAGTTTCGTTGCATTCCTTGTAATGGGGCAATTTACAGCAAAGAAGGAATTGCTGCTTTAGCACCAAAGCCTCAACTTTGTGTCTCTCTGCCCAGTGGGTAGGTGTGACAATAAGCAAGAGACCTGTGACCACTGATAATGCAGATGTGCATTTGGGCACTGACTTTGAGGCTGAACTTAGGACATGATCATGCACACTACTTAGGAACACCACATAAACACAGGAACACATGGATTCCTAGGGGTTAAAGGAATGATAAAGGCTTATTAAAGCTATCTGGATTGGCAGGAGTTTCAATGTTCAATGTAGGCAGCAGGAATAACTACTAATATTTTAAATTTCTGTGTGGTTTTATGTTCACTTACTGTCATCTGAGTTAAACTGTGACTGAATGTTCTGGTGTTGTCACTTTAAATCAAATTCTTCCTTGAAATTCAAGAGTTTATGAGTCTTAAGGTATCCTTACTGGCGTTTGCCTTTCCTCTATGATATAGTGTCATAGTTCATGTGGCTACAAGACTGGATGCAGCAATAGTGCATTTATGTAAGTGGTTATGTATTTCTTCACTTAAACTTGCTTTGATGACTGCTTGATGCTTTTTTTTGGAAAATAAAATAAACGGTGCAGTGTATTCAAATGTTGTCTCTAAATTTTTACATGAGGATTCAGCTTTTAGAACTCCTATCAGCATGTTTGATATTAAGATAGATTTTGCATTCTTTACAAACAAGAGCTCCATTGATTCAGATTAAATAGTGGTGAGTGGTGTGTCCTGCATCTCGTTGTGATCTTTGCAGAAATATGAATGAAATGACATTTGAAAATGGTTGCAGAACCACAGCCACGCACTTTTGAATATTTCCTTAATTAATTGTGAATTTTAAAAAAATCTGTTGCTATGTTTCCCAGAGTGGAATTGTCCTCCAAGACGTCTCAGGAGGATCAACTCTGTGTGCAGCCTAAGCTCACACAGTAAATAGAAATTGTTCCTGTCTCCTAGGATGGTTTCTGCCTTTTTTTTTTTTTTTCCTCACCAGGACATTGTTGCTTTTTATTTCTTCTGTTGTGGCTTTCAATGAGTAATTCACTGGTAATCAGGAGTTTGCAGCATCTGGCTATAGCAGAGGCTTAAAAGTTGTCAGAAAATCAAAGCCCATTTTTGTAAAAGTGACATTAGCTACCAGGACAAACACAAACTCTGGGAAATCAGCAGCATTACTGGAATTGTGGCACCTTGTGCACAGAAACACAGAACCAGGCAAAGCTTTTCTGATGGTACCGTGAGCCAGCAACAGCTTACAGGTCTGTGGAACAAGCTCTGGAGATGGATGCCAGCAAAAAATAATTTTCTTCTGGAATTAAAAAGGGACAGCAAAAGGGGAGTAGGATCCTAGAAAACCACCTCAAGTCTTAAAAATGGTTTGCTTCAGTTGGAGAATCTGGCTAGTTTATTTCCTTGAATTATTTCTTCTTCTATTACTTTGAGAAATGCAAGGAGAATGACTCAATCCTCCAGCATCTTACATGCGTCTTAGTCATTGTCAATCACAAAAAAGTTACAGTCTGCTCCTCATGCTGAATTGAAACACTTCCTGAGAGAATAGGCATATTTGATGCAATGCTGAGTCACTCTCAGCTGCTCACCATTATTAGGTATTCAGCACGGCTAAATTGATACAATTAATTTTCCTGAAGTCCTATAAAAGTCTCTTTATCCTATGCTCTTAGGTATAAAGTGAAAGAATAAAATCTCTTCGTCATCTCCTGAAAAGTCATAGAGAAAGAGCCACTGGAGAGGCTGACCTACATACCGGATAGCGTCCCTTAAACAAAACAAAACAAAACAAAACAGTTTGGATATTTTCTGTGAATTACTGAGGCAGATACTGTCATTAAAAATAGGACACACAAGTATAGTCCAGAATGCTTTCCACTGAACATTTCATTCTTCGTTTCACTTGACCAACATGTCATTAAAAATAGGACACACAAGTATAGTCCAGAATGCTTTCCACGGAACATTTCATTCTTCGTTTCACTTGACCAACATGAAGAGCTCGAAGGTTTTTACACTTACTCCTCTGATTTGCACAAAACTACCTTTTATTTTCTTTTTTAATACCTTTTTCATATGATTTTTGGGCATGAGTGATTCAAAGCTATAAAAGAACAGTTTGAAAAAAGCCGTATTTAAAAATAACTCATAACCCATCCCTCTGGAGAAAAGCATGGTCATGGTAGGTGCTCCCTCCAGTGAGAAGGACTGGATGAGGCAGGCACCTTGCTCCTGGAGTTCAAGATACTGTGATTCTTTCTGCCTGGTAAAAGCAGAAAGCA